TTGATACTCAGTCAATGCTCATTGAGTACATTAATAAATGAATAGTAAGAAAAAAATGAAGTGACACATAGTATGATTTGCACTGAAACCAGTCTTTGCTGGGAATGTTTCTTGATAGTAGGCTATACAACTATTGAATTGAACAAGACTCAAAGACTATTGCACACAGTAATACAACAAAATGAATGCCATATCTGGGTTTACACGTTCTTGTCACATCTTCCTTGTTTTGCATTGAAAGTTACAGACTAAAGTGCTTCATGTTGCAAAAGTAGCAGAAATCCTCAAGTGATGTGTGTGCTGTGAACGGATTACAAGTATGCTGAGATTTGTATTTTTGCAGCACTCAGAGTAGTCGCCCAGGACCTGAGGTTGTCAGACTTCTTCAGAATAAAGTGACAAGAGTCCTAGAACCAATTACCCCTGACTTGAGAAATTCTCTTTGCTTACCTCAGTGTGTCATGTAAGCATTATCACCATTCTCTACATGTGTCATAATGAGAAGTGGTTTATAATTCCTGCACCATTGTAATTTTGACTATGTTTGTGAACATTTTAATATGTAATATTTAATCAAGTCCTGTTCTGTGGGTCCATAACTGCATTAGATGTCTTATACTTACTTATGAAATATCTTAGAGAACTTTGCTGGAAATTTTATTTTGCTGTTTCGTTTCTATGTTTTATTCAAGAAAATATGGGAAACTGTTTATAATCTTAGCTCAGATTTGAACACTGAATAGCTACTCTCCCATTAGGAAACGTTTTGCCATGGTTGAAATGCCTTTTCTTTAAAAGAGACTGGGAGCCTATAATTAGAATATAAGGTTACTCTCTTTTTAGAGTAAAACCATAACCACTAGCATTTATTGCTGCTATAATTGAGAGAAGGAGAAATACTCATTTCTTTCTTGTAGTTAAGATGTTTGAGTCTAGAGTGAAATCTGTCACCTGTGATAACTAGTTAATTGATTTATTTATTTTAAAAATATTCATCGAGTGTCTGTTCTATGCAATGATATGTTTAGAGGGAAAATTAATGCATAAGGCATAGCTCCTGTTCTCAAGTTTATAGTCTATTTGAAGAGACAAGACATAAACACATTTAAAAAGACAGTTTAAAATACAGTTGTGTGCTGCATAACGACATTTCAGTCAGTGACAGACTGAATATATTATGGTGGACTCATAAGATTATAATGGAGCTGAAAAGTTCTTATTGCCTATTGATAACATCACCATTTCTATGTTTATATATAGTTATATACACAACTATCATTGTATTATCCAATGTCTACACTATTCAGTACATTCACATGCTATGGAGATTTATAGTCTAGTAGCAACAGGCTACACCATATACCCTAAATGTGTAGGAGACTATACCATCCAGGTTTGTGTAAGTATATTCTATGATGGTTTCACAGTGACGAAATAACCTAACAATTCATTTCTCAGGATGTATCCTCATTGTTAAGACCCATGTCTGTAATGTTTGTGGATTATTTTCTATGGTGACATAAAATTAAACACCAAAGGACTCTCACAGCGATTATAAGTGTTAGGAGTTTAAAGAAGTACCAGTACGTTATGTAACTTCCCAGAGTTGATGTGAGCTAAGCTGGTCTTTAACGAACGGAAGAAGAAAAATAGTAATAGCAAAAACTTACCTAGCAACTACTCTGTGCCAGGCACATTCTTCAGCATTTTATATATTAGCTCACTTAATAATCTTAAACGCTCTATGAAACAGCACATTTAATAACTTGCCCAAAGTAATACAAGAAGTAAGTAGTACTTGTGTATGCTTTGTGAAGTTCTCATGCTGTGCTTTTCAGCTCCATCAAGTCATGTATGTTCTTCTCTAACTTGGTTATTCTATTTAGCATTTCGTCTAACCTTTTTTCAAGGTTTTTATTTTCTTTGCATTGGGTTAGGACATGTTCCTTTAGCTCAGAGAAGTTTGTTATTATCCACCTTCTGAAGCCTGCCTCTGTCAATTCATCAAACTTATTCTCCATCCAGTTTTGTTCCCTTGCTGGTGAGGAGTTGTGATGCCTTGCAGGAGGAGAGGTGTTCTGGTCCTTGATGATTTCATCCTTTTTGTGCTGGCTTCTTCCCAATTTCGTGGGTTTATCTACCTGTGATCTTTGAACTTGGTGATTTCAGATGGGGTCTCTGAGTGGACGTCCGTTCTGTTGATACTGAAGCTCTTTCTTTTCGTTTTTTAATTTTCCTTTTAACAGTCAGGCCCCTCTGCTGTAGGACTGCTGGAAGTCCACTCCAGAACTTGCTTGCCTGAGAATCACCCAAATGGCGTGCAGAGCAGCAAGGATTGCTGCCTGATCTTTCCTCTGGTAGGTTCGTCCCAGAAAGGTACCCACCAGGTGTCAGCCTGAGCTCTCCTGTATGAGGTGTTTTTTTGTTGTTGTTGTTATTCAGGGGTCAGGGAGCTGGTTGAGCAGGCAGTCTGTCCCTTATCTGCCTGCAGAGATGCTTCTGGGCTGCCTCCCGGCTACTGTGTAGGCATCCTCTGGCTTTTGTTTACACAGGTAAAATTAGAACTGTCTTCGCAATGGCAGACACCCTTCCCCTCACCAAGCTCGATTGTCCTGGGTGCAGCTCAGACTGATGTGCTGGCTGTGAAACTCTCAAGTGAGAGAGCTTCAGTTTGCTGATCTTTGTGGGGGTGTGACCTGCCAAGCCGTATCACCTCTCTCCCTGCTTTCAGCTCTCCCTCTTCCTGGGAGTTGGGTAGATCCGTCCTGCAAGCACACTTGGTGCTAGTCAAAACTTCCACCCAGATCTTGCAGCTCTGGGCAGGCTGGAGCTGTTGCTCAGATCTCTGTTGGTAATTTCTGGTGCTTTTCAGCCTAGTGGTGTTCTCCTGGACTGCTAGTTGCAACAGCCATGGCAGAAGTGCAGTATCTGAACCAGAGTGCCGAGGTGGTAAAGTCCCCGATCCTCTGTCCGATTACACTTCCCAGATGAGACAAGCAACTGTTTGCTCACAAATTTAAAAATGTAGAAAAAATTGAACAATTCCTTAAAAAAACCACAAACTACCAAAATAAAAAATTAATAAAATTATATGTGTGATATAATTAGTCCTGTAATCAACAAGGAGAATGAATTTGTAATTTAGTAAGTCTGTTCTCTTGTCTGTCACCATGTAAGGCCACAGGAGATATGGCCTTACAACTTCCGTCATAATTTTCAGGCCCCCAGGCACGTGGAACTGTAAGTTCATTAAATCTCTTTCTTTTCTAAATTTCCCCATCTCTGATAGGTCTTCATCAGCAGTGTGAAAATGGACTAATACATCAAGCTACTCAAGCATAGTGGATTACACAAGGGTAAGAACATCAGGAGGCTAGGATCATTATAGATCATATCAGAAGCTGCCTTCCAAATCAAGTAATGGTAAGCATATCCGGAAACAGATAATATAATTTTATGGGGAAGGTAGATAGCTACAATCATGTTGGAGAAAAATCTAGCAAAATTTAGAAACCTTATTGCTATGGACTGAATGTGTCCTCCCCAAATTTGCATGTTGAAACTCTTATACTCAATGTGGTATTTGGAGGTGGAGTGTTTGGTAGGTAATTAGGGTGGGAGTAGGTTTTGAATGTGGGGTCCTAATCTAATCATGGGATGAATGCCCTTATGAAAACAAAAACACCAAACTTCCGGCTCTCTTGATGCACCCAACAAAAAAAGGTCATATGAGAACATAACCAGAGATGCCCTTGCCAGAACCTGACCATGCTGGTGCCCTGATTTTTCAGTTCAAACCTTTAGAGCTGTGATAAATAGTTTATTGTTTAAGCTACCCAGTCTATAAGATTCTCTTATAGCACCCTGAAACGACTAAGACAATTATATTGTCTATTACCTAGGAATTACCTAGGAATTCTATTCCTGAATATACACCTTAAAGAGACATAGGCAGAATTCCACAAAAGGTCATGAGCTACTAATGCGGCTTGTGGCAGCATCATTAGTAGCAGTAAGGTACAGCATCAACAAAGGTAACCCTCAAAGGAAGAAGAAAATGAACAAGCACAATGCAACATTACAAGCAATGAAAAAGAGATGCATATAGCAGTTTCATTACAATGCTTACACATTCACAAATGTACATATTTAACAAGTCCACATGATTATCAAGAATGAAAATATATGAAAGAACATCATTCAAACACATCGGGCGTTTCACATGTAGGTGTCTTTTGGTGGGAAAGAAATTAGTAATAGGAACTGGGAAGACAGACAGAAAAATCCAATAAAATAGAGAAATAACCTTTCAAAAATCAATAATGATAATGTGGTCAGAGTCCATGAATAGGACAAAAGTAAAGATAAAAGAAATATTCATAAATGGACAGTTAATTCAAATCCCTTTCCATCAATTGCAGGGCTAGTGGATATTAATGAAAATAAGCTGCCTTTAATGCCAACTGTGATAGGTACAAAGATGTTTATTTGTGGGAAATGTCTTTTGTTTGTAGAATTATTCACCTCACCAGTGACACTGAAATATATCCATATTGTTTTTAGAGGGACTTTAGGTAAAATATCAAAAATAACAGCTAATGACTTGGGGAGGGAGACAGCAGAATAAACCAATGAGTAGGTGTGGCCTTGGGGAATAGATTGAAGGAAACTGTTTGCTATGTGGGCCACCACAGTTGAACATAGGTATATGAGGAGGGGTGGCAATTCAGTTTGGGAAGGCATACAAGAGACTGTTATAGAAAATCCTCTTTTCTACCACCAGGTTATCCTTGTCTTTATATCATCCCCCAAAACAGAGGTGGCAGGAGTGGTACATTCTGATGTCTAACCCTCCCCAGGTACCCTCCCCCCACCTCACAAAAAGGTGACAAAAGCAGTGCTCTGTGACGTCTCAGTGTCTCTTAGCTCTCATTGGCTGGGAGAGTGCCTTGCTGACCAATCAAAATTGAAGAGCATAGCTCCTCATTGTGCTGGGAGGGGTATACATAGGATGATCAGGAGCTCTGAGTAGACCACTGGGAGACTTCAGTATGGCGAAGGTGGCCAGTAAATCACAGGAGCCTAATGAAGATGTGGACAAGCAGACCCCATCAACCCCAAGAACCAAAGGGAGGAAGAAAGGGAAGACTCCCTGTCAACCAAGATCCAGAAGTGGTGTTAAGGTGAGATAATCCTGCCCAAGCCCCTTCTCTTTGCCCCACTGATTCCCCAACCCCAAGACTCCTATCCTTCCCTTCCCTCACAAAACCCCCTCCTCAATTCACACCCCTTCTCATAAAGTCCATTCTTATGTATTTCCTACCTTTCCCAAAACCAATGCCCTCTGCCCTGTGTTGTCTCTATAGGGGCTAAAGACCACCATGAAGGCAAAAAGACCCCTTCGAGGGAGCTCAAGCCAAAAAGCCTCTGAAACTGACACCCCTACAAGAAAACTTAAGAAAGCTAAAGGGCCAATACTGTATGGTCATTATCACCGGCTGAAAGAAAAAATGAAGAAAGAAGAGGCAGAAAAAGACCAAAAGACTGAGGAGAACTCCAGCGTTTCAAGTGATGACCTGAGCAGCCAATAATTTCAAAGGGAAAAGAGAGACCTCACCTCTGTGACGTCTCTAGAGGTCTGGCCACTGAGAAGTAAACAATCAGACAGACAATGAATTCTACACCAACAGGTTAAAATCATGAAAATAAAATCAACCTGAATTGAAAAGATATGTTTCTGTGGGTTCTCTGATGGTGGGGAAGGAAAAAGTGAAGGGAAGAGGGAGGTGTGCGTGAGAAGGCAGGCAGGTGGGTTCTGTGGGGTTTGGGGCCAGACCAACGGGTCCACACCAGTTATTGGGGGGGTAAGGACTGGCTCAGGACTAAGCACTGAAGACAATTTTCCTGAAAACTTTAATACACAAAGAGTAAAGAGGCTTGGTGTTTCTACCGGTGTGTGTTTTGGTGGGGAATGAGGGGGCGTGACTTCAGTGTGTTGTCAGAACCTGTATGGGGTGAGGTTTGTGGGTGGCAGTACTATTCCCAATAATAGACAAATAAATAACCTGCGGGCCATCTATCTCATAGTGGTAGGTATGGGGTACAACCAACCCTATGATATAAGCAACCAAATACTGACTAACCCACTTTCTTAAAAAGCTTGAGGGGAGCAGGGCAGTGGGAGTGGTCTGCCTGTAGCACAGGTCTTGAATGAGAGCTTTGTCTTAGTGTCTCTTAGCTCTCATTGGCTGGGAGAGTGCCTTGCTGACCAATCAAAACTGAAAGGTGTGGCTCCTCATTGTGTTGGGAGGGGTATGCCTGGGATGATCAGGAGGCCATGAATGAGATCACTGTCTACAGAGAATTTTCAAACAACATAGCTCTCTCTCCAAACATCTTTTATTTTTATTTTTCCAAAGCTGTTTTTACCTGTGAAGAGAATATCATTTTTAAACAGCTTTACTGAAGTATAATTTACATATGACCAAGTGCACATGCTTAAAAAGCATACAATTTGATGAGTTTTGTCACATAGGCACTTGTTAAACCATCACCATGACTATAAGAGTAAACACACCCATAACCCCCTAAAATTTTCGTATGCCTTTTGGCAATTCTTCCCTGCCCATATTTCAACCACCATTCTAAAAAAAATAAATAAAATAAAACAAAAACACTGACCACTGATGTGATCGGCTTTCTGTCATTATCAATTTCCATTTTCTAGAGGTTTATAAGAATGGAATTAGAAGATATATACTCTTTTTTTTTTTTCTGGTCCAGCTTCTTAGAACAACTATTTTATCTTTCCTTCCTCGAAAATGTTTTGTTGGTCTACTTTTTAAAAGATTGCTGTGGTCAGTAAGTTTTAATCGTGGTTCTGTGAGAGTGGTCCAAAAATAGCACAATTTATCATTATATTTTAATGAATACTCGTATTCTAGAAGGAAATTGATGCAGATAATTTTCTGTTATACCATTGGCCTCAGATATCATCTGACTCAATTGTTGCTGTTTCTTTCTAAAGCAAGTTCCTAAGGATCTGGTATTTCTTGCAGTGCACTTTGAGCCATAATCCGTGGCCCTATATGACACACATATACTAGCATTTAGATTTCTAAAATATTTCTAAAACAATAATAGTACAATGATTGATTTTAAAATAAAGGGATAATTTGAGTTTTTCAGGTGCTGTCATTCCATGTGACCACTTGTTTGTATGATGCCTCAGTTAATGTAACAAAATATGAATGGCAAAGTATAAATGTTTGTTTGAGAAGTTCAAATTTTTACTTCATTTAAACAAAAATACTTTGTAAAGTTGAACTGTATCTTTAAAAGTGAAATGTATTCTTCTTTAACTGTTTAATACTTATTTTAAAACCACAGACCAATTCAAAGAAATAAAATGTGACATCAACTGGGTAATTTATTGACTAATTTGTCCCTTTTGCACAATTTTTGGGTTTCTTAAAATGCCATTTTATATTTTCCCTTTACTAATACATATATACATACATATATATGGCTCACTTAAAACAATTACACCATATTTCTTTATTAATCCTTGTTATTTCTTGTTTTGATTTATGATTATTACTGAAAATGTGTTCTACTGAGGAGGGGGCATTAAAAAGCATTCCTCATTTGGTTTTAAATATACTAATTATGTCAAGGGTGGAATGCATTTTTTTCTTCAAATACTCATATTTTGGTCCTCGTGTCTGGCATCTTTTGGTTTTCTTTTAAACAGCTTTATTCAGATGTAACATACTGTAACAATAAACAATTAATTAGAGTTGACACATATACACCTGTGAAACCATCACCACAATTAAAATAACTTTATCTGTCACCACATCAGGTTTGTTTAGTTTTTTGCCACCTTGTACTTTTTCCTCCCACTTCTTCCCAATTCCCAAAAACTCACTAATCTTCCTTCTGTCTCTGTAGGTTAGTTTGCAATTCTAGAATTTCATATAAATGGGATCAGATTAGGTACTTAATTTTATCTAGCTTCTTCCACTCAGCATAATTTTGAGTGTCATCAATGTTGTTGCATACGTCAATACTATATTCTTTTTTGTATTTTTTTATTACTTTGTTGAGAGTTTATCAGCACTAAAATGATACTGCAAAGTTGCTTGAATTTTATTTTTTATGATAATTGGAGATTTACGGGCAATTGTGAGAAATAGATGTCTTATATCCTTCACTCAGATTCTCCTGATGGTAATGTCTGCTATAAACACAGTACAGTATCACATTAATAAATCAACAGAAATAAAATCCATTTACCTTCTTCAGATTTCACCAGATTTACATGCACACATGTGTGTGCAGGTAAGTGTGTGTTACATTCTGTGTAATTTTATCACCTGTAGAATTTTCCATGACTACCGCTATAGTCAAGATAAACACAATTTACATCACAAAGAACTCTCACACTAACCATTTATAAGCACAACCATTTTTCTCCCACTTCCCCATCCCTGAAACTCAGTAAATTGTTCTTTGTCTTTCTAATTTTATCGTTATTAGAATGTCACATAAATTGGATAATGCACTATGTAAACTTCTGAGATAAAATATTTTTAATCAGTATAAATGTCTCGAGACCCATTCAAGTTGCTGTGTGCATCATAGTTGTTTTTGTTTGTTCATTTGTTTGTTTTGTTCGTAAGTAATATTCTGTGCCCCATGCAAATCAGAAATCCAGTGGGGCAATCAAATCTTAAAGTTCCAAAATGATCTCCTTAGACCTCATGTCTGTCATCTGGGTCATGCTGAGGCAAGAGATGGGTTCTGATGGCCTTGGACAGCTCTATTCCTGTGGCTTTTCATGGCATAGCCTCCCTTTTGGCTGCTTTCACGGGCTGGCATTTAGTGTCTGTGGCTTGTTCAGGTGCACCGTGCAAGCTGTTGGTGGATATAACATTCTGGGGTCTGGAGGATGGTGGCCCTTTCCTCACAGCTCCACTAGGTGGTACACCAGTAAGGGCTCTGTGTGAGGGCTCTGATCCCACATTTCCCTTCTGCACTGCTCTAGCAGAGGTTCTCCATGAGCAGCCCACCTCTGCAGCAAACTTCTGCCTGGGCATCCAGGTGTTTCCATATATCTTCTGAAATCTAGGTAAAGGTTTCCAAACCTCAATTCTTGACTTCTGTGCATCTGAAAGCTAAACACCACATAGAAGCTGCCAAGGCTTGGGCTTCCACCCTCTCAAGCCACAGGCCGAACCATACATTGGCCCCTTTCAGCCACAGCTGGAGTGGTTCGGATGCAGGGCACCAAATCTCTAGGCTGCGCACCACACAGGGAGTCTGGGCATAGTCCATGAAGCCATTTTCTTCTAGGCCTTTAGGTCTTTAATAGGTGAGGTTGCCTTGAAGATCTCTGGCATGCCCTGGAGACATTTTCCCCATTGTCTTAGGAATTCATATTTGCCTCCTCATTTCTTATGCCAATTTCTGAAACCGGCTTGAATTCCTCCTCAGAAAATGAAATTTTCTTCTTAATTGTATTGTCAGGCTGAATCATCTCTGTCAAGTTCAAAGTTCCACAAATCTCCAGGGCAGGGGCAAAATGCTGTCAGTCTCTTTGATCCAGTTCCCAACAAGTTTCTCATTTCCATCTGAGACCACCTCAGCCTGGACTTTATTGTTCATATTACTATCAGCATTTTGGGCAAAGCCAAACTTGCTTTCACATTTTCTTGTATCTTAGCAGCAGCAACCCCTCCTCTGGTACCAATTTACTGTATTAGTCCATTTTCACTCTGCTGATGAAGACATACCCGAGACTGGGAAATTTAGAAAAGAAAGAGGTTTAATGAACTTAAAGTTCCATGTGGCTGGGGTGTTCACAATTATGGTGGAATTTAAAAGTATGTCTCACATAGTGACGGATAAGAGGAGACTTATTAAATTACAAATTCATTCTCTTTGTTAGTTATAGGACTAATTATATCACTTATATAATTTTTTAAAATTTATTTTTGGTAGTTGGTTGTTTTTTCAGAAATCGATAATTTTTTTCTACATTTTTGAATTTATGAGCATACAGTTGTTCACAGTATTCTCTTATTATTCATTTAATGCCTGCCTTGGTTCACCCTCCTTGGGCTACACCCACTATCCAACCAGTCCCATTGAAATGAGCCTGGTAACTCGATTAGAAATGCAGCGATCACTCACCTTTTGCATCTCTCTCACTGGGAACTGCGCTCCGGAGCTGTTCCTATTCAGCCATCAAAACCACATTGAGATACCATCTCACACCAGTTAGAATGGCGATCATTAAAAAATCTGGAGAAAACAGATGCTGGAGAGGATGTGGGGAAATAGGAACACTTTTACACTGTTGGTGGGAGTGTAAATTAGTTCAACCATTGTGGAATACAGTGTGGCAATTCCTCAAGGATCTAGAAACAGAAATTCCATTTGACCCAGCAATCCCATTACTGGGTATATGCCCAAAGGATTATAAACTGTTCTATTATAAAGACACATGCACACACATGTCCATTGTTGCACTGTTTACAACAGCAAAGACCTGGAACCAACCCAAATGCCATCAATGATAGACTGGACAAAGAAAATGTGGCACATATACACCATCGAATACTATGCATCCATAAAAAATGATGAGTTCGTGTCCTTTATAGAGACGTCGATTAATCTGGAAACCATCATTCTCAGCAAACTGACATAAGAACAGAA